TTCAAAAGCGGATATATTGTGTCCCGCTGCTGCGTAGAAAAAGAAGAGCTTAAAAAACACCTGCACCAACGTTTACTTGGTTTCCTATGTATGACCCGTCAGTGAAGACTTGTAGCTATTGATCTTCAGGATAGTTGACATTGATTGTCTCAAGGGCCAGTGAGCACATTTGTTCTGGAGGGGTGTTTGATTTCCTGAAGAAGTCAAGCAGTTGGGGGCAACACACAACATCAGTGTCTGCTAATGGGTTCATGGAGAGAGAGAGGCTTTTTGGTTTCTCATCGATTTTTTATTCTTTCTTCAGTTCTATGGCTTTCTGTATTAGACCAGATTGCGTTTTCGAATGTCTTGGTCTATTCTCCTAAGTGCTGAAGAACTTATCCATAGGAATGCGCAGTAGCTTCTCATACAGGATCAAGGCCTTTTCTTTGATAAGGAAACATATTGTGGTGCTTCCTGTAACTAGGAGCATTGCATCAATGGGTGTTGATTTTATCCCTCCAGTAATTAATCGTAATGCTTGGTTGTGTGCCTTCTCGAATGGTTCGAGAGTCACCTCTGTGGATGTAATGAGTGGCTCACAACAATACAACATTATTGACTGAATAAACATCTTGTAAGTGGTGTTTAGAGTTGAGCGTACACAGCCCCATACGCTACCAGCAAGACGCTTCAGTACATTCAGTCTATTGGAGACACGTTCTGCTATTTTAGCAATGTAATTTTTCCACGTTAGCTTTATGTCAAACGTCAGTCCGAGATAAGTGAACTCATTGGTTTTTTCTATGGTAGTATCCTTGTACCTTAGAAGCGAGTTTATGCTCTGACGGGCCAAAGAAAAAGTTTGGAATNGTTCATGGAGAGAGAGAGGCTTTTTGGTTTCTCATCGATTTTTAATTCTTTCTTCAGTTCTATGGCTTTCTGTATTAGACACATGGGAAGAGGGAGGCTTTTTGGTTTGTCATTGATTTGTGATAGTTCTATGGCTTTCTGTATTAGACCAGATTGCGTTTTCGAATGTCTTGGTCT